GCACCGTCAATTAACCACTGCGCCATTGTATCTAAAGCATACCTCTCTCATTTCCTTACCAAGTTTGTTTGTTTTTGTTTTGTTTTTTTTTTTGGACATTTTTAGTGAAGTTTTTTAATAATTATATTTACGTATGAAAATATTTCACCTATTTACATAATTTTTGATAGAATATTAATGATTTTACTTTCACTTCATTCCATCTTTTTTCTAATTTCTCTTATTTAGCAATGCTAGAAATTGTTTATTAGATATTATAATGTTCTGTATGAAAATAGATAATTATAGTATATTCTAGCAAAGTAATTAGCATTCATCTACAGATTGCTATCATCCATCTAACCTATAAGATATTAATAAATTCGTAACGCAAAGCTGCAACAGCTATAATAAATTTCCGAAGTTATAGTTTGTCTACGGTATATTTCCTTTCAATTTAAGCATTCTTAAATGCATACATATACATTCACGTACGTGTGCACAAACGTTTACACGTATGTGTACGCGCGTACGTGCACATGCGTAGACATGTTTTTTCGTATTTGCAAGGTGCACTTTCATTTCGTTACACTGAGATCAGTGATTCAATTGATACTTGGGTCCATTTTTTGGTGGTACTTTTTCTTGGGTTAAAATTAAATTTATATCAAATTTTTTCATAATTGGTAAAAATGGAAGTTAATGACAATTTTTTTCCATAATTTATGGTTGTCGAATTGTTAAGAAATTTCTTAAACCTGTTACTGTTGCTATGTAGAGTAGTCTGTTACTATTTACACTAACATTTGTTAGTAATATATGCTTACGTGAGTTAAGTTTGGTTTTAGTTTTCCTTTTCTCCAGCGATTGTTTTGTTAAATTATTACGTTAAAATTTATTGCAGAGCTTAAACGTTGCGGCTTGCATAAAACTTAAGTGGGAGGTACATACCTGCGAAGGATGGTATGTTCTAGATTTACTTATTTGCTTAATTGTAATTTATTATGTATTTGTTACTACTTTTTTAAGTGAAAAGAAAAGATTTTTAGTAAGAAGAACTATTTTATTTGCTCATTTTTTTTAGGTAATTGCCATTAATTACATTTATACCCAATTATATCAGATATTAATATATGCCTAAATACTTTTACCCTGTTTTGCATTAGTTATCTATATTTAATTCATTCTCAGTTTTTCCTACTTGTATATGCACGATTACATTTATTTTTATTCATAATTCTATTTACATACTTTAAATTTCACTATCGAACGTTTAACGCTTTGATGAAATTTTTTTTCCTGTTTTTTGGGACACAAAATGATAAGTAGTTACCAAAAAAAGTCGACTAACAATGGGGAATATTTTTTAAAAAAAGTGCAGATTCATAGAAGTGACAAATCGGTTAGCTTATTTGCACTCGTACTATAACTGACATCAATGATGAATCATTTGTAGAGTGCCACGCTGCAGCCATATTTGGATGCTGTACGGAAAACATTAGAGGCTGCGATGTGCCTGGAACAATTCAGCTCGCAGGTAGTTGAAAGGTATAACAAACCAGAAGTAAGTGGCTAACGTGTTTTGCGTAAATAATTTGTGGTTGAATACAGTTTTCGAATTTAGGTTGAATGCATCCCACAAGTAGGAAGATTGGAAACTTTCTGAAAAATAAAGAAGTAATTTGCAGCACGTCAAGCAAGATATAGAATGACATTGCATTCTGCTTGATGCATGCTGTAGTGATAAAGAAATGGTGAAGACAATTTATCTTTTTTGTGAAAATGTATAAGAGGATGTGCTTGGTCAAATGGGTAGTCGCTTTTCTCTGGTTTCGGCAAGTGAAAATAAAGCAATAGTTAATTTCAGGTGGAAGTTGGCACATCATCAGAACTTTTATTAACTCCGGTAGTTGTATCACGTAACAAGCAGGAACGTGTTCTTATTGAGCCGTCGATCAATTCGGTGCGCGTCAGTATTGCCGTGAAACAGGCTGATGATATTGAGAAAATTCTAACTCACAAATTTACACGTTTCATGTGTCAGAGGGCTGATAACTTTATTATACTCAGAAGGTTTGCTTCTATTAAATTAATTGGTCAGTAACGTTATAGTTAAGATTTTCCCATTAAATTATGAGCAGATTGCATATGTATAATAAAACTGTGATTCTTATCAAGTTGCTTTCATTGTTTGTATCAGAACTAATTTTTATAGAAAGCCGATACCAGGTTATGATATATCGTTCTTGATAACTGCAACGCATACAGAAATGATGTATAAGCACAAAGTGGTTGATTTCTTGATTCACTTTATGCAGGAAATTGATAAGGTATGTGCTTATATATACATGTTCTATAAATTAAAGATTTTGAAAACTTTCGGTTTATTGATAGCTTCGGCTCATTATAGCAATTTCATATTAACATTATTATAGCGTAGTATTTGAAAAGTTTACTAAATGGATTTCTTCTTCGGAGATCCATTACCTAAGTTTGTGATATAAAGGATAGTTTTTGCAGGAAATCAGTGATATGAAATTGGCACTAAATGCTCGTGCTCGAGTATCTGCAGAAGAATTCCTGAAGCGTTTCAACTAATTCATTTGGCACCTATTTGTGCATGCGTAATTTATCGCTCATCTTTTAATTTGTCGGATGCAGTGCAGTAAAACAGTTTCACTTTCAAACTTGTAAATCGATTTTTTTTGTTTTTATGCGGTAGTATTGCTGTATTTCTGTCATATGACGATGATATTCAATGGTTTTTCTTTGTTCCACCCTGACTTGTATCACTTCTTACTTTCTGCTGCCATATTTCGTGACATTGCAATCTATATCATGTAACCATCAATTGCATTAATAACTGAACTACGCAGTGAAGTTTTTAGAAAGGCTTTATTGAAAGTTTTATTCTGAGAAGTATATTTTTTCCATTGATTGTAAACATATAATTTCATGCTCTATATTTTTCAGTTATATAAATGAAAACGTCATTGAAACGAATACTTCTCACAATACTACTGTACTATTTGCCTAATTTATATTAATGATTTAATAACGCTGTAAAAGTGCACATGATTTAGTCATTGTTTCTATTGCTGCACATAAGAATACGAGTATGGTAAAGTCCCTTATACAGTGGACATAAGCTTTTGCGTGATGCATTGGTATTTGTCAAAGGTGATACTTTTATCCGTTAATTCTTATTTTTTCAATTTAATATTTGTTGTTATCAGATTTTCCATTTACAATTTACATTGTTATTATTATTACTAGTTTCTGTGAGTTGTTTTTTAGTTTTAAATTATTTCTTTCATGTAGTAATTTTTGAATTTTTCAGTGATTCTTTATAGAAATGTTTAGTAAAGATTATCAGATGCATTTTTTTTTGTCAATTTCAGAGCTTTACTTCATAACGCTATCATCCCATATCTTTTGGATGCAGTTGAATGTTTTCTAATCCTTCCATTGTTTGAATTTTCCGTTGAGAAGTTTTGCAGTTTGAATTTCCTCATTTTAAGGTAATGACAAGATTGTTATTACTGTTATTATTTCTGTGCACGGTGCAAGAATTAGCTGCAGAATTTGAAGCGACAGTTGAGCATACTGTGGCGACCTATAAAATCGAAGGGCAAATCATTTTTCCAGAATCATTTACCACGCAAAATGGCAACATGAGTCCAAGTCGTGTATTGGTGAATTATGATTTTAAACATGTTGCATTTGTAAGGTTGGTTATCATCAAATTGTTTTGTTTTCACAATTAAATTTTGAAATAAATTAGCCGTAGTATTTAACGATATTGTTCATACGAGTTAGTGTCTCCGACTGATGGATTTCTAGGGTGGTCTCTGCTAAAATGTCGAGAATGATCTGTTCCGGGATACTGAATAAAAGCAAAATTATATCGAGCACCTTTTACCATGTGTGGGAATGGAGTTACACATATTAAATAGAATTTGATTTATACATAAAGTGTACAAAGTTTGTTTTCAGGCAAGATGGCTGGTTTGTAATTTCAGGAGTTCCACCAGGTTCTTATATTATTGAAATTTCAAACATCGATTATGCTTTTGAACCGGTACGAGTTGATATTACCTCGAAGGGTAAGATAAGAGCGCGGCGACTTAATTTATTACAGGTTAGTTTTTATAGCATTATTTTAGCATATCGTATTTACTGGATTTTTAGGTAATTTAAGCGGTTTATGAACTCTTCATTTCAGTGCAAAATTTTTTTTCCTGGATTTCCTGATATCCTGAGTGTAACCAGTGATTAGTTTAGATGTGTTGCAAGTGTTTCATCCATTTCAGCCGTCACTTGTATCCTCACTTCCATATCCCTTGCGCTTGAATGCAGTGCACCAAATTAACTACTTTCGACCTCGAGAAGAATGGCACTTAACAGATATGCTTACTAATCCAATGGTTTTAATGATGGTTGTGCCTCTTGTTCTACTTGTTATATTGCCAAAGCTTGTTAATGCAAATGATCCTGAAGTTAAAAAGGTAAATAATTGAACTTGTCAGCATTTTTCTCCTATTTAGCAAATCCACTATTGTGATATCTACTTTTGAGAATAACCAGCTGCATCGGATACAGAACTATTTATGTTTTTGTTGCTGTAATAAAGAAAGTTGTGCATTGCGTTGTGAGTTGTGCAGTTGTGCATTGCGAACAGATGATGAAGTAGTACAGTAGTGTTTGTTTAAAAGAAAACTAGTTATGAAAAATCTTAGACTTTAATAGAAATCGAGTTTATCTCATATTGAGTCTCCTTTATTTGATCATGTTATCTTTTCCTTCACACAGTAGTCTAACACAGAAATTTGTTGATTTTAGGAGATGGCTAAAACTATGCCACAGATGGATGTCCCTGATGTTTCGGAAATGTTGGCTTCATGGCTTGGTGGAAATCCAAAAAAAACAAGAAGAACAGCAACAGGAAACAAAAAACGACAGTGATATAGCTCACAGATATATTACATGGATAGTTGAAATATATTTTGCTATCGTCGACCTCAGTGTTAGATATTGGGGCATCTTCTTTTGTTCACTGTTTAAATTTTTCAAGTGGAAGACTGCAAAGAATTTTGATCAAAAACATGCACAAGTTGTATATTTTTGGTGTTGTAAAAAGTTCTGTGTAGTCAATTTCTTTTTCATCTTTACGGGTTATCTGTACTCTTAATTGCCAAGCTAATCTAATTTGCTTAATTTTTCTACGTTAACGTTGTACTAGAAGGATTTTTCTTTGATATCTATCATATGTATCATAAATATGAAAAAAATAAATATGATCATTTGAGATTTGTTTACGGGCTCAATTCAGTAAAAGTTTAATTGGTGTAAAGATCTGTGGTAAACCAATTGACAAAAAACAAAAAGAAAAATTTGCAACGATCATTTGATTACGATAAGATAGTGGGAAAAACATCGGAATTATCATTTGAGATTTGTTTGTGGGGCTCAATTCTCAGTACAATGCTTTGCATCGAAAATTATTCAATCCGCAAGGTCTCTATCGTAACATAAAATGTTTTAAACTTCATTGTAACATCTCAAGAATTGATATAATGCTGATTTTTCAGCCTAATGTAATCTTGCTAATATGGATATCGTTAAACTGCCGATATAGTAGAAGATTGAATTAATCAGTCGGCTTATAGTGATCAAAATTTTCTTTCCCATCGATATCCAGAGAGTTCAAACCATGTCTGATTATAGATTAGTATAAAA